TATATATATATATATATATGTATGTATATATAGGGGCCCATTCAAGGGAGAACTGATTAGTTTGTGGTAACTGTGAGAACCAATGTGAGCCACAAATCAATAGATAAATAAAGAAATTAGTAATTATGGTATTTTAAGTTAAATTTATAATTAGAGGGCATTTTAGGTATTTTTAAAAAACTCATCTCTCCTCTCTCCGACCTTCAATCTCCGGCCTCCGTCCTCCGTCCAACATTATTCCGGTAGGTACCAATTAATCACAAAGATACACAATATGATACCCATTGTAATATATTGTGATACCATTGTGATACCAACTCAAACCATAAAAACATGTGATACACCTTGATAAAACAAGGAAAAATAATGAAACTGAATATTGTGATACATTGTGATCCACTATGTTACACTGTGATCATACTCAACAAAATCCACAGTAATGGTGCCTAATGCAATGGAGCATCCTTCCTCAATTCAGAAAGATCTTAGGATGAATTGCTACTATTTCTCCAAAATCAACGAACCTTTAAACAAAGAAGGAACCATTAGTCAGGAAGACATAAGTGATCCTGAACCGATTCAGCCAAACATTCATGAATCCTTGACAATAGGAGACATACCCTTGACAGGGGGAGACATAACACACCTGTTTGTTCCTAAAATATCGTCTCTCCTCCGGTACCTAATATTGAAGCTAGTGACTTGGATCGGCGTAATCATCTTCGATGCCGGAGATTGCTTTCATGAAGGAGTTGCAGTCGTCTCAAGCACCTGTTTCTGTCCAGTGGGAATCTGCTGGGTCTGCCAGAATCAATATAGCGCCTCGTGAACTATCTGCCCCTGTGATGAATGGTCATCTATCTTCTAGTGTTGATGGAATCAGATCCAACATGACAAGTTATGAAAGCAATACCTTGTTCAATCTCCAGCGGGAGTGAGAGGGCGGCGTTACAAATTGTCGACCGGCTTGATGAAGAAGAAGAAGCAACAATAGAAAAAGAGGGTTAGTCGATGAAAGAAGGAAGAACAAGAGGGTTAGGGTTTTATGATTATAAACATTACCAATTTACCCTCTATGTTATTTTAGGATATAACATTARTTATTTAAATGATTGGCTCACATTGGTTCTCACAGTTACCACAAACTAATCAGTTCTCATTTGATTAGGC